ATTTCTAGTCGGTTTAAATTCTATAAACTCACTAAGCTTCGTATAAGTGCGATTACAAGCTGAAACATTTTTACTTTGTTTATTTAATTTTAAAACATTTGAAAAACTTCATACGTTGTTGACTCGAAAGGGTTATGTTAAAACCTTTTGCCTGGACGGAATCATCGCTGTGAAAAGTTAAATCTGTATAAGCATTCTGATGACTTTGAAATATACTCAAGGACTTGGTAAATCCTGTGACGTTTCCGCAATAGCTTTCAGTCACCTGTGAGCAAATACATCAATTAACACGGAAGTATAAGTGTATGTATGTACATTAGGGCGGCCCAAAAATTCATGTGAAAAAGTAAAGTCGGAATTTTTATGCTCTCACCCCCTAGGATTGTTCTATACTAGAGGTGGGCACGACCACAAACAAGCCTGAGCAAAAAGTGAGAATGTGTTAGTGTGTCCAATTCATTTTCGAGCTTTCGCGTTCTCATCGTTACGCTCTCGCTTGTATACGTACACTCAATGCTTACGCTCTTTTAGCACCTACTAAGTCTCTGCCCATGCCTGTTCTATACCGAAAAAAATATACCCTTATTTTTTATTTTGCAATCAAAAAATATTTAGAGGTCGCTCAAAGCGCCCAAAGTCTTCCATGTATTTTATGTGGAAAAAAACAACATTTCGTAGAAATGGTATAGAATAGTTAAAAATCAATATTTTCTACTCTGTTTATGTGCAGGAGACTCCCAATAATAATACCCACTTTTTTATTTAACCATTTTTTCATTGCAACTATAATTTATAGGGCCGCCAAAAACCCTCAAAAACTTCAAAAAATGCAATGGGGCGACCAATAAAAAAATCGTTAGTATTAAAAAATGGTTAAATAAACAATTGCGTATTATTATTGAAAGTCTCCTGAAGACAACCAGAATTTTCCGATCGAAAAATATTGACTTTCAAGAATTCTATAGCATTTCTACGAAAAAATTTATTTATCCCATGTAAAAATACATGGAAAACTTTGAGCGCTTTGAGCGACCTCTAAATATTTTTTGATTTCAAAATAAAAAAACAAGGGTATCCTTTTTTCGATATAGAACAATCCTAGGGGTGAGAGCATTTCTTCCGACTTTGCTGTTTTTGAACCCCCCTAATGTACATACATATGTTGGAATACGAATTTCTTACCGTATCCTGATTTATCCGTAGAAAATCAAGGCATTTACCAGTCTCGACCGATGGATTTTGCAGGAGCATGTTTTCAAAGTGGATTTGAAAATTGGTTTCTGATTTGATTCGCCATTTGCAATGAACATTCGGTGGATATTCTGGCCCATCAGGTGGAAAGTTTATTGTTAGAACCTACATATATATATATGTGAAAAATATTACGCTTGCAATAAAAATACTCCTAAATGTATTAACTTTGAAAAGAAGTCGCACTGAATCTAACCTTTTCTGGAAGAAGTTCTAGCTCATTTCGTCCACCACAAACAGATTTTTTGATTTCGAGAACGATTTCAAGTGTGTAGTTCCCCTGCTTTAGAAAACTTAGTTGTAATAACGCATGCTCATTGGAAGTTATCAACTTTCTATTCCCATCGTTATCTTTGCAAAATTTCCCCACGGACAAGGACGTATCACCTTTTTCCGCAGGTTCTATAACCTCCAAGTAATTACATTGCACACATGATTCATCCAGACATTGGGTTGGATTAATATTCAGCTTTCTTATTTGAACTGTGACCCTAAAACTCTCCGGAGCTGTTACATGAATTTGACAATGAAGTTCTTCAGCTGGGTTCACTGTGTAATTTCTAACCATTACAAGTGTTTGTGCAATTGAGTCTTCGTTGGTCAATCCAATGCGTTCATTACAGTTGCGCACGAAGACGACGTCAGCTTGGAAGCCCTTTTTCGCGTAACTAGTATCGGACACAGCCGTAATAAAGGCATGGTTATCATCGACTAAAACCAGCGGCGGATCTGCACTTAAATTACCACAAAGCTTAACGAGTTCGTTTTCGTTCCTTGGTGAAGATCCTGAGTAAATGGCTACGAAATCATAAAAGCACTTATCATGTTTTTCCATGTCGAAATATATAAATCGCACTAATATAGAATGGTCCGGTGGTGCCACGATATTCCACACGCAGTTCATGTTGTCAGCATATACAAAATCATTGCCACTATTGCCGTTTGTAGCCGATAAAGAACGAATAGTTGTGGATTGGGTGATGTTTCCGCCACATGAATTCAATTGGTACGCGATTTGGAAACCTTCGTAAGCTCTGTTAAATACTAAACGCAAATACCTATTCTCAATTAATTCTGCTCCTTCGCAGTATTCGCCAGCTCTGATTTCGTTTCCGTCTTCTCCCTTCTTGTATGCTGTGAAACTCAACATACACAATCTATTCCTGTAGATAGGCCTAAAACTATCTCTATATACACTATTCCTCACTTGTAAACTTATCGCACTATCTGAGTTCGATACAAAGGTATATATGCAGCCAAACATAGAGTATTGTGTGATGTCTATGTCAGGAGATCGTATTAATTGCAGGTGGTTGGTAACATTGAAAGTGGCGGTACAGGACGATGATACTCGGAACGTGAATCCATCTCCCGTCGTCTCGTTGTCTGTGCGGAACACAATTAATATACGCTGTGATGTGGCGTTGTACGTACTAGGAACATCTCGACCACAAAAGCGTTCCTTTGGTTGCCAAACTGCACCTTCATAAGAATATATTTCAAGATAGTCCTTTGAACAATTTGCGGATTTCTCTATAAAGAATCTT